AGGCTCAACCGGGCTGTGCGAGCTGCTGCCGCCGGCAGCGCCGATACGGGTTTTACAGGCGGCGTCCCTTTCCCGGGTGGCAGTCACGGCGTCTTGCGGGAGTACCCGGCTCAACCCGGGGGATCGAGCTTTTCTTCGCCCTCGCTCGGTCGTGGCCCCTTTGCTCGTCGGGCGCCGGCAAAAGCTGAGTCACCCAGTAGTACTCGGCTCTCCATGCTGCACCCAGACGGCCTGCCAGCTCTGCTCTCAAGCCACAAAAAATGAGCCACAAAAAACCTCCTCTTGCTCCTTTTCCTCGCTCCTGCACACAGGCAGGAGCCAGTGCTCCTCTCTACTGCGGCAGGAGCGCATGAGGCTGGTTCTTTAATTGCTTTTCATCTCAGTGACGAGTTAGTGGACAAAGAAATAAGAAAAAATGTTTTTACGTGGGAAAACCTAGTGGCTGAGCTTGTAACCGGCTAACAAATCGTACCCTTGGGGGGCTCTGACCACCTGGGGGTGGTTTGAAGCCAACCAGGCAAATCAGCTGGCAGATGGGGCTGGAAGTTGCAGAAAGCTGAGCTTGGCTGTTCGCAGCTCTTCCTTGCTGACCAGGTTAAGAAAAGCTATGCAAGCGTGCATCCTGGAAAGGCCCTGCGCCAACCCTGAAGAAGAGAAATGGGGAAACGGAGGCCGAACATCATGTAGGTACAGGCAGCTCTTATTTTGCTGGGATCAGCGTGCCTCAGCAAGGCATTTAATTTGTCTCAGTCATCTCTTGCCTGTGAAGAATAGCTGCTTGGTGTGCTTAAACCGAGTGGAGTTTGGGGAGAGTACCGCATGTGAGGAGGGGTGGCCAGACAGAGCTCTGGGGACACAAGAAGTGAGGGCAAGAGGCCAAGGAAGAGGCAGCGTTGGAGCCTCTTTGGCCACAGGGAGTTTCAGAGCCCTTGTATAACCAAGAGGACCGGCCTCGCTTGGAAAGGCTCCGCTGTGGCCGTAGGTAATACTGTCACAGTTACACGTACACCTGTGATGACTATTAAGAAGCTCTGACAGCAGCTTCAGGCCTATGGGAGATGCTTCTTTGTTGCCTCAGAGATTTTACCTGGCATCAGCAGAATAAAGTGACTGTTCAGGTTCTAGTTTCATTATTTGTTTGTTTGTATTCTGTTTTAATGATGGTCAGTTGTTCCTTATGTGGGTTTTATTGTGAGCATCACTATGGCTCCAAGGCTCTTGAGAAGAGGTGAGGAGGGAGCAGAAAGCATTACGAGCCCAGATAGTGCTCAGCACAGATCAAGGGCTGATCCCAGTTAGCCAACGTGATTTTGGACACCACAAGATGCTGACTGTTCAGTTGGGCTCAGTGTTGTATCCTCTGACTAATCGACATGCAGGTTTTTGGAGTAGCGGTAAGCAGGTCAGAGAGTCACCATGCCTTCTCAAGCATGCTCCTGCTGGCCTGGTCTTGTCTCTGTCCTTCAGCCCTCTCCTATATCTTAAGAACTAGAACACGGGGGTGGGGGGGAGGCAGGAAAGGAGCAGTGCTCCCACTCTGTTGAAAAGACTGTGAAAAGCTTGTGCGGCAGGGAAGGAAGTGGCTGGAACTTTCTCTGGGTGACTTCAGCTGGCCTATGTGGTGGGTATGGAGCAGCTTCTCCTCACCCCCTCTCCATCTCTCCCTGCCACCTTCCCAGAGTTGCCTGCCACTTCTAGAGGGCAGCTTAAGGCAAAATGAAATACGCTTAAAATCACTTTAAGGTGAGGGGGTTAGTGTTTTGTATGGAAATGGGGATGCCTGTCATTAAATGCCTTCCTGAAGGAAGGGGTATTAAATGACAGGTTGTTTCTCCACTGTGGAGAGGGAAAGTAAAATTCCAGACTTCACACCTTTGCAGACCCTTTGCTTGGGTA